ATCTAGCATTTGTGGGCTTAATATCAGATACGTTCTTCAAAGTCTTTCAGAAAGTATAGTCAATTTTAGAATAATAGATTGAGCTACGAACATTTCAACAAAAAAGCAACTATTGCACAAAATAATATACAATATTTTTTAAAAACATCTGCCAGGATATGTGCATATAAAATACATTTTATTAATTATATATTTTAATTTTTAGGAACTCTTACAATCGGATCCGTTAGACCAAACGATGAAGGGAGCTATACCTGCTCACCAGATATTGAGACGGAAGTCAGACACTCTCGCACTTTCCATCTTCGTGTTTTGCGTAAGCTATTTTGCCAGTTTTTAGCCACTTGGCCCAGGCCATCTTCTTCTTTTCTGACAGATAAATATCCATTAAATGGTGACAGATTAATAAAATATGAGTTCAATGCATTCTTTATTCCTTTAGATTTTACCTATCATGTACAAATAATGTTGAGTATAACCATATTAGGCGGTTTGATATATGAGGTGTTAACTTATTCTGACCAACTTTTTAATCCTGAATTATGCATTATTCCTATTAAAGTTTCATCTAGCTGGCGAAAAGTTGGCTTCAAATTTAAGTAGTTTGTATAATAAGTAAATTTAACAAAGTTAAACCTAGCTTAACATGGTTCTGCATGCAAGAAGCATGACTAAACTAAAGTTTTTGCATTTCCGCAAAGCATGCTTGATTAGAATCAGAATGGCAACACGAATACTAATTTATTTTGCCATCTAACTAAATAAATGCATCAAGGACATGACCCTAAATGCTATTTTGTATTTCTGCAACATAAACTAAAAGAAATACTTTAGCATTCGCGCCTCTGCTTTAACCTAGAAAATTTCCTCACATCTAGGAAAGGCGGTTCTTTCGGTGACTCCTACGGACACGATTGTCTCCAGACTGGGCGTTTCTGTCAGGCTGAACTGTTCACTTGGACAAACCTTTCGTGGTTCACGAGATAAGATTAACAGAGAGAACAGTAGAGTTGGTGCTTATGACAGCGGTGGACGTAGCATCGCTAGCCTGAGCCGCTCCATCGGCAGCAGAAATGGGGGAGCTGAAGGTGACACAGTTCATCATATCACCGGAAAAATGTTTACTGATACAGCAAACTGGATACCGCTGTCTTACGAGCAGAACACTCATTATGGTAAAACAGTTGGTCCTGGATGGTTCTTTAATGGCCGACAACTCGATCAATTGGCTGATCAGCGCGATTTTAATATTCAAGGTACGTATAAACTTAAAATAATTCAGAAGTTTGCATGCCTTTCAGAGTTCACTGCTTTATTGAAAATCCAATAGCTGTCATATACAAAACGGCTGGGGTAGGATAATTTAGATTAACTTATTTTTAGTTCTCACAGTAAAATTATTTGAGATGAGAAAATCTCCAGTACTTCAATATGTGCCTTAGTATTTATGAATGAAAATGTCATATTGCAACACCGCCCTGTCGTAGAAGAGCTCAAAATCTGCCGAATTTAGGTCGAGACTTGATCTATGGTGAATTGTTTACAAGCGTGTTCACCCTAGATCAACGCCTCCGATGGTGAATTGTGCTACCTACTGCTTCTCGGATCTAAGCATAAATTACTTGCCCAATGCCAGGAGAAATATATTAATCTTCTGCAAATCTCTTAAATCTTACGATACTTTATTTAACAATATTTGTGGCTACAACTACTCACGAGAA